ATTTAGAAAATGGGACCATCAGGTCAAAATTTAATTATGAGACTCTTCGGGTTCGATGCGGTGCGGTTCGGTTCGGTTCGGTTCTCGGGATTCGTATAATAATTAATTTTTTTGATATTTACAACAACGCTATATTAATTCAACTAATGACACGTTCAATTTTAGCTCTTACAAAATAACGTAGTCCAATCTCGTGATATTTTTTGCTCTTTTCTTTGTTGAGTTCTTCATAGATTTGACGGTTAAAATCATAGGAAGAAGAAGATAGTCAACTCACAAAAATAAAGAGAGGCTTCCAATCGATTTCTGAAGATAGAAACGACATTATGGTAGAATAAAAGATTTTGGTAACATTTAGGTCAATTTGATTAATTGGACTTGGGCTATAAATTAGAAATAGGAAAATCATATTTTGGGTTTGGGCTTAATTAATTAATTAGCAAATTTGTTTAAAAATAAATAAAATAATTTGGCTTATTTAAGATAAAAAAAATTAGGGATATTTGGTTCTTATTTAGTTCTTGGTCGAAAACCGAGAACCGAATTCGTCGATTTTCGAGTCAGATACTCGTTCGGGTATTTAACTTAAGAAGAACCGCTTGATTCTGTTCGGGTCTGGTTTGGTTGGTTTGATTCAAGAGTTTTATCCAGTCCTACTTTTAACACACATTTCAACGACTTTTATCAAAATCTAGTAAAAATTTAATTTTAATCCAAACCAAACGAGGGCTTAGTAAGATGAAGAGTCGTACTCTGAGGCAACTCTAGTTTTATTAAATAGATTGACACTTTAAGTCGATTGCACTTGAATTGATTTTTTCAGTTTGATGTGTTATCTGAATGAAGTTGGAAAGAGCATTGTTCTCATGTAGTTGGCTCTACTAACCATTGTCAAAACAGAAATTTTTGTTGAAGGTGATAATTTGAAAACCCGCAAGTTCACGGGATTATGGTCGAATAATATAATGATGTATAGAGGTCGAACCCATGAGAACTATGTGTTTGAACGAGTTAAAATCAATTGCAACCTTAATCGAATAACAAATAAATTTTGTGATTTTTTATATACTAATACCTAAATTATCAATTNNTAAACTAATGAAAGTAAGTAAGTGTTCTTTTCAAATATGTGAGATGCATTGTTAAGATGTCGAATTCCCTTAATTATTCCATTTTTAGTTTAATAATTAAAGTGACAATTTAAAATCATTCATGCTGGTCAATACTTCTAATTTAATTGAAAGTTTCTCTCAATAGCGATCAAATTTATTCCCCTTATGTGACACTTCTATCTCTCGATAAAATATGCAAACATGATAAATGCATTAATAAGTGTTAGAACGCCTATTGAAATCATATAAAACATAGATGTATATTTCTATTCTCTATCGAATCTTACAATGTTTATTATATTGTGTTTAAACTCTATTGTCTCTCTCGATAATAATAAAATTTACTAACAATTCAATTGGTAATCAACACAATTAAAAAGAACGATAAAAACGATAATAAATATCCACAAATCAAATCAAATTAAAGTCAAAATAATTAATTAAAATCTAAAAATATCGTAACAATGGTTCATCTCATCTTAACAATATATAAAATTAGTCCAACATATTGAAATTATAAGAAATCATATTTAAATGAAAAGACATAACCCGAATTTTTGATAAATTGAGAAGATGAAAATGAATCTTGAAATCTTGAATCTCTCAAGTGGTTTCTTGATAAATCTCCACTTGCGCCTTCTCTTCTTTACCCAAAAATCAAATTTGAATCTTCACTTGATTGAATTCTTGCAAGTCCCCTGCAATTCTTAGACAAAAACTATGAATTTTTCACAAGAGTTCCAATTGAAATAAAGAATAATGAAAGTTGTTTTCGCAAGCGATTTTTTTTTATCTCTACACAGCAGTCAGCAGTCAGTATTTCGGCCATAGAGTTCTATCTCGATATCTGATTGAGGCGATTAAAAGTGTGTTGGAAATCTA